ACCACGCGACAGACTGACTGATGGTTTTACAGGGTAATTTAGTATTAGCAACTGAGTTGATAACGTAAATTGGCCGCCACAAAGAGTTTAAAAGCTGACGTTTCGAGCGTTAGCCCTTCGTCAGAGCGAACGCTCGAAACGTCAGCTTTCAAACTCTTTACAGTGACCAATTTACGTTATCGACTCAATTGATAATACTAAATTACCCTGTTATACTCTCCCACCAACGCAGCACCACTGTTTCTTAAGAAAGTTACCCCCTTTATCCATTTGATTGATGGTTTCATTGAGTTCAATACTGACTGACTGGCTCACTGACCGACCACTGACTTACTGACCCACTGACTGACAGATCAACTTATTTACCGACCGATCGATCGATTGACAGACTTGATGACTGCCGGACCGGCTGACCAACTGACTGAATGCCAGTGACTGACTGACCGACTGACCAACTGTTCCGCTCTGACAAGGGGCTAACACTGGAAACGTCAGCTTTTAAACTCTTTACGGCGGCCAATTTACATTATCAACTCAGTTGATAAAACCAAATGATCTTGTCATACTCTCCCACCGGCGAACCACCACAGTTTCTTTAGAAACTTTCCTCCTTTATTCTAAGGACCAAGTGATTGACAAACTGATCGATTGACCAACTGACTGATTGACAGACAGACTGACTAACCGACTGACATACCGACTTACTGACTGACTGACTGATTTAACGACTGACCGACTGGCGGCTGACCAACTGACCAACTGACTAACGGACTGATTTCCGAAAGATGAATTGTTGCGGAGTAATCAGCGATAGGCAAGCATCCTTTTCTTTCCTTCATGCCATGGAACTTGGATAAGCTCCATACTTATTGAGCCACCTGACTCCTAAAACTTAACCTCAACACAAATAATAACAGGCGATTTTTAGCGAGTCCATTAAACTGTTCACTTTTTTCTTACTGACCAGGGGCAAGAGAATGATATAATTCTCATATCTTTGGTCCGAAGTAACAACAAATCCACGATTGGTTATCTATCGTCAATGAATCGTTTGTGTGTGGCAATTTCTCGAGCTCGCTGTGGTCTTTACTTGTTTGGTAATCACGCACACCTGGCAACGTTATCTAAAAGAGGATGGAAGGTGGGAGTTTTCTGCTGCCATTTGGGAAAAGAGTATAGTATAACAACCTTAACGTTAATTAAAATAATGATGGTATTCTATGCGTGCCCTTCCTTAGAGACAAGTTGCTAAACGTTCTACTAATTAAGCTCTAGAGATGGGTTCGAAATTTAGTTTAAGGAAAGCAAGCTATTTCGTTTTAAGTCTATCGTAAATCTCTCTGGAGACCACTGAATTAGGAAATATTATATTTATTCCTTTAAACTTAATGAAACTAAAAGAAAAATTAGTTCTTTAGTGAGGGAAAGAAAATGCCAGTAAGTTTATTAGCACGCTGTCGGTTCAAAGTGTTAGGAGCAGTTGACACTGTATCAGTTGAGTAGTACTGCAGATAATGTTGCGAAATTATACGTGAGTTTTATTTTGTTATTGTTAGAAGCGTTGATATTTTAAGCACCTTGTAGGATATAAAAATTTGCAAAAAAAAAAAGAAAGAAGTCGTTTTTCTGAAGAGATCTTGTCATTTATTTTTTTTTTATTATTTATTTGCCACTTACACACACACATACAAAAATAAATGAAAATTGTATACAACAATCTAAAATAATAACTATAATAATATCATTATACAACAATCTATACTTAATCCAGATAAAATTATGATTTAGGGTCATTTATAAGTAGTGTGGCGAGGAAACCCAGCAGAAGCTAGAAGCTTATCAAACCTGGGTTCCTTACACGATGTAGAAGATAGATTTGCTAATTACAGACGGGCGAGTTTAATTTAGTTTTCTGTCATTTTATAGGTTATCAGTGAATATATGCGAAAGAAGCAATGTTTGGGTCGAGTTTTTCCATTTTCCTCAGGTGACGATGTTGTAAGTATAATGACTTGTTGAATTTACTAGATGTGTATGCATTTGATTATTCCCTTCTTTTCTAATTTTTTCATTCAAACTTGCGTGAAAAACAACTTATTGTTTTTCGTCATGTTAACAAAGATAAAAAATTTCCCCCCTGGACAAGGACCGGGTAATGCTCTCACTAGCATTTTATTTTTCTTATGGAAAGCTTATCTTTTGCTAAAAGTGCTGGCCTCGACTTATACAACTTTCGCCACCCTTTCAATCCTTGTTTTTTCTTGTTCTATTTGTAACTGTGAGTCCTGAAAGACAAATATATTTGGGTTTTTGTTGTATTTCAATGTCATGACGGCCCAAAAATAGCCGCTATTTCTTTGTACTTAACTGAACTAGGGAGGAGATGGGTATCAAGGAAGCCTTCCAAGTAGAGAGAGAGGTAAGAAGGGAACCACTGTATTATATGACTTCACGATATTATTTTACTATTTTAAGAATCGGTTCATGCTTAGCGTGTGTATATCGAGGTATGCATGCGCGCGGAAGTTTTGGAAAATGAAGACAAACAAAGTCGCGACTACCATGGACGAAAACTTTGCAGCGAAATGCAACTGCATATTTCATGTTATGTACACTACCGTGATAGAGATATAGACCATGGTGGCTCAGTAAAGAATTAAGTACGACAAGCGCGGGCGGTTTGTTCGAAAGTTGCCAATTGAACCCAACGGGGCAGACATCCCGACGGACACCCTTCCATTTGTTTTGCATTTTGCCCTCTAAAATTTGTTTTCTCTCTTATTTATATTCGTCCAACGAACAAACTATTCATGATTTTGATTAAATGAATAAGGTCATAAAACGTATTGAACTGGATTAAAACAAAATATAACTTCGGCTTATGAATGATACCTTTGCTTTTGGATGTAACCTCTTTTGCTTTTTATTGTGCAGGCGGCAACATAACTATCCAACACGCTGAAAATGTCTTTTTGGGGAGAGGAGACAGCTCCGTGAATACAATGAATGTTGGTCGAGGTTAGTGTTAAACCTTCAACTCTCAGAGCTGATTAATTTGTAACTTCTACATAGAATGTCATTTTATTGTACCACAAACAGGTGTTAAGAGTATAAAACCAATTTCTCTGGAAAAATTTTATCCAATTGAGTACAATATAAGATTAACTCGTCTTCAGTAATTTAACCCTTTAACTCCTATGAGTGACCAAGACAGAATTTCTCCTGACAATATCAATACAATATCTAGCAGACAAGTGATGAGAATAAAGAAAAATATCAAGTAGGGGATTATACGTTTATCCAAACTAACATCACAAGAACTGTATGGCAGACAGTAAGGAGAATTACTAGTGAGATCTTGGGAGTTAATAGGTTAAGACTTACAACGTTGAAGTTTTAAATGGAGCAAAACAGACGCGAGGGCGAACGAGTATCAGTATACTCATTCGCTGCTTTTAAGTAACGTCACAATTTCTTCTTTTTTTTTGTTTCTAGGGAATTCGCCTCCGGGGACAGCAACCCCACGGCCTTTAGAAATACCACTTCCACCGTCTGGCAAAACCCCAGTTCATGATCCAAAGTCGCCCTCACCTTCGCCAGGGTTTTCACCACTGTGTATGGAAAGAAGTGACATGGGTGCTGATTCAAACTGTGTGCCGCTACAAGGAATTGAAAAGAATGAGTCGGTAGTCGTTGATTCCAGGCCAAATGAGGTACCAGGGGTGGAGTCTGATAAAGATGCAAGATTGCCCATCCAAGAGGCACCTGCTGCAGAGCATGCTTCCCTAAATGAGATGGAAAAAATGAAAGAAAGACCGGAACAAGAATCAGGTTTTCCTATAAAAAGCACAGGCAATCCTCCCGTTTCTGGCGATGAATCCTTGCCGTCTGATAAGGATGCTAGGAAACCTACGCAAGAAACGCCAGAGGCGCAAAAATCTCCCGAATCGTTCGAGTTTGAAAACATGAAGGAAAGGCCGGTACAAGAATCAAAGAACGCCATCTCTGATTCGTCAGGTAAAGAGGCGAGAAGACCTACGCAAGAGTCACCCGAAGCAGAGAAATTATCTCCTGGTTCAAGCAAAGAGGAGATCATGAAAGAAAAGCCGATCCAAGAGTTAGCAGACGAGAAACGTTCGGAAGAAACAGCTGTGCAGGAAAGCGAAGAAACTCCAAAGAAGGAGGACGAGTCAAAGGGTCACCCTGTCAGGCACGTTTACCAAGAAGGTGACTTGAAAGAACTCACGAAGGAAACCCTCGCTCAAGAAACGATAAACCAATCTGGTGAGGAAACAAAAGACCAGAGCCCTGAACACATTGTCCAGGAAACCCAGAGGCCTAATAAAGTGAAAGAAGAAGGCGAAGACTCGGAACCTCTCAAAGATGACGAGTACTCTGACGAAAAGCCGCTCAAAGTAAGCGCCAGGTGTGGGACAGAAAGCAAAGATAGCCCGGAGGAAGCTTTACCGACTCAAGAGACCATGGCCGCAGGGAAAGGGCCTTTTGAAGAGACTGGGCTGGAGGTTGGCGTCAAGGGGCATCCTACAGACTAAAGAGAGGACCAGTTACGGAGCTACCTTGGATAATGATTGAAAGGAACGGTTTTAGAAAAAAAGCTAGCGTATAGTGCACCCATAGAAGATATCAAGTTGTATTCAACTTCAATTCGGCCCTAGCATTCTTAGTATGTAATACGAGTAAAACTTTTAATTTTTGCTATTGTATGAATGAAGCAATTTCTACGGAGTTTTTCTCCTGGTGAGTTTTAGTTTGAATCTCAATTGCAGTTTGCTCATGTAAAGTACTGTTTTCCACTGATTGGGACATAGTGAGCGAGCTATAATAGATATTGCTCTTCTGTAAACCACGTTAAAGGACTACATCTTGTCATTTTATGGATTGTGCTGTTTCTTATGCAGACTCCAAAATTTCCATTACGTTTTTTGAAATAAGAACGGTAGAGTTGTTTAGAACGGGTGCGTTCGTTTTTTTTTTTAAAAAAAAAACGTGATACTTCAGTGGTAGTATGAAGGCTCACGTAATTAATCCTTTGCACTGAGTGATATTCGTGAAATTGTGAAAGAATTGTCCGGTATCATTTTTAGTGTAAATAAATTAAATACAAATCGTTTACACAAATTTAGACAGAAGCTCATTGTCTGCGTATTTTCATTTTATCGCATAACAATCTTTTAAACTTAAGTGCCCCTGCTCTCCGAACTAATGGATCTCTCTTTTACAAAGAGCGCTGTGGTCAGCCGATTTAGAAGGCCGAATTCAACTGCAAAGCGTGACAAAACCTGAAAAATAATTTTGTTGCGTTTAAGGTAAATGAAAAACTGCATATGTTCTACAATGCATTAAAATTGCAAAAAGGCTTACCAATGATTGACCTAGTTCTTTTCCTCGCCGGATGAAAATCTAACAATACCATAACATTCCTTCCAAGATATTTCACGGATTTAAGGTAGTAAAGTGTTTGTAGCCAGATGCAAGCTGTCGCAAGAGGTGAATCACAAACCCATGTGCGAGGATTTTCAGCGTATTTTTCTGAATTTTTTTTTTTTTAAGATGATCTTTGATTGAGTTGAATTTTTGGTTTTAAAAGGGACAGTTATATGATGAATTGGGGTACTCTTGAATTCTTTGCGTAAGCCAAAATACAAGCTCAATTACCAGTCGTTGTTCGCCAACGTTTCACCCCGGATATTGGATTCGAAAAACGGTAGAAACTTGCATATAGGTGAGATTGGTAATCAATATAGTTTATTAATAAAAGCTAACTCATTTACTACTATTCAACCTATCATTAAAGAGAAAGTAAATTCTCAGAGATCAATTGAATTTAAGTTACTTGATGGTTTTTTTACCTGGCCTTTCAGGTTCGTTGTGTTGATTCTTCAACAAGTTCAAACCGCACTGAAGCAGGTGGTTACCAGAATAAACAACGTGGTCTATGTAGGGAGTGTGTGTGGACGAAATTCAGTGGAACTTAACATCAGACACGATATCCTCGACTAAACTGAACAAAATATTTCGATGTTATTGAAGCATTACATTATCTCAAGGAGCACTTTTACTCCGAAATTGGGCAGTTCCCTTCTTTTTGCGTCGACCGATTCGGCCAACGGCCTGCTTGATTGAATTATTGTGAACTCGATGCTGACTGGGCAGCTCATAAAACGAATACGTAAACGCACTTGATACCGGAAGTCTATGAATAAAGTTTAAATCCTCCAATGAAACGAGTGGTTTGTACTCTTCTTCAAATGTCCGTCTGAAGACCTTTGCACCGGGCTTTTTAGCGGGCTCCTCATTTGGACTGGTCTGGTTTTCTTGAGCTTGCACAAAATGTGTTGAATCACTCTCTATGCGGATGACAGTTTCCTGGTTGTCTTGAGGAGCGTAATTATCTTGTTTCCGCGACATGCATTCTAATTCGATTGTTTCTTGCTTTCTCTGGGACGGCTCTTTTTCTGAAGCAGAACGTAAGGATCGCTTTATGAGCGCTGACGAGACCCTATGTTCCTGGGTTCCCGTAATCGTGCTACACAGTGAAGGACTATTAACATCAATCAGTGAAATATGGGCCTGGCTTAACCTCGCTTTTGATCCATACGTCACATTAGCTTCAACAAATGACGGTGTCACGTGACTCATGGACGGACTTCCTTGGCCTACGGGCATATCGTCTATGACTCTGCTATGGTAGTGGTTTCCAGGCCTCTTGACAGCATCTCCCTTTTCCTTTTTTCTTATAAAACGGCGCGGTCTGTCTGATCTGGAGCCTGATGGGTCGTCTCCGATGTTGTAAATACTTCCATCGTTAGTGCCCCAAGAGGCCTGATCATCTAAATCTATCGAATAAAAACAAAGAAACAACGTTTTTAGTAAGGAGCGAAGCCTACTTATGGTGAATCAAGATATCTGAGAAAGCAGCACTGGCAGGTATATTTCAGACTTATTTAGGTGAAAGAAAGGCCTGTAGAAAGAGGATCGAAGGGAGGAGTAAAGTAAAACAACAAAAAGAAAAAGACTAAGAAAAAAATCATAACCCGAAATTAGATAAAGGCCGTGCTTACTAGAGAAAGATGCATCCTTTCGAGCATGCGCACTTCCAACTGCCCTGCTGTACTTTTGCAACATAGAGGAGTGTGACTCAGTCCCTTTAACACTACGTGGCGGGTCAGACATGAAGTATGCATTTGAATCGGTCTCGTGAGCTCCACGCGACATTTCGGACATGTGCGATGTAAGTAAATCTCTTCTACCATCACGACTGGAACCCATTCTAAAAGCCTTCCCTTGTTCCCAGGTCTCCTCATCAGAATCAACATTATCGTAAGCAAAAAATGAAGGGCTGTTTGCGGGCACAGTCATGGAATGTTTCCCAAGTCTCTGAAAAGGCGTATCTGGTTGACCTGATCTGTTATTTACGCTAGTATTCTTTTTACGAGCGCGTCGCTGATTCTGTAACTGAAGCAAGGAAAGTTTTTGGTCATTGGTTATGTCTAAAACCTACTTTGATTAATGTTTGTCATTTCATTTTCCAAGTCAAGCCTGATCATTCCAATCGATTTCCTGTAAACAATAGCACCATTGATAAATATCTGTCGACCGGGCCTGAGAACAGTTATTTCAAAATCGCTCTAAACCTAAGGCAAGTACTGATAAACCGGTCCAATTACACACGAACATAAAACTCGGTAACACTAAATCCATAAATATATTTCTCTGTACTCAGTGAAGCCAAAGAACAAATCTGGGTCTAAGCCATTTACCTCTTTGTAGACCAGGACATTACTTGGTGATCTTGGTGCTGAAAATTCTTTCCCATCTGAACGTGAAGATAAAGCAGTGGACACTCGAGATGATCTTCCTTCGCGGGCTGATGTATCCCTATGACTTCCCCCAGCCAATGATAATTTTCTACCAGCTACGGATGAGCACAAGTGATTCATTTCAAAGGAATCATGTCAAAATTTGAGCAACTTAAAATATCTAACCAAAACTTTTAGAACTCATCTTTAGTAGTTAATGATAATATTCTACTTCCTTAACAATCCCTGTATCATTTCGGTATTTGTCTACCCTGACAAAATGATCATTTCAAAGCAATTACTAGGACACCAAACTTGACTGGACGCTCTGGAGTCGAAAGGGTGTGGCAGAAGGGTAAGGGGGTAACCCCTAGGTCGCCACGTCTACGATCTTTACAAAAGCTTGCATAACATGAATTGAATGGATTGTCGGATTGAATGTCGTTTTCACCCATTAAACCACTCCTTGAGAACAATTTTTAATAATTTGCAAATGAAGTTATTTGGTTGCCAGATTATTTATACAGGGTCGTCTATTGGGTTCGAGGGTGGGGGGGAATCCAACTTTTCTCGTAGAATTCTTTTCAAATTTTAGAGTTCTATCGCATTTAATCTTATTCCCATTTGCCATGGTTATTTCCCAGTGATAACCTTAATCTCAGTCTCCCAATGACGACCATGGAGTAAAAATTGTACTTACGAGTTTCTTGTTCACTCATATTCCCCAGGCCCTCTCCAGTTCTCTGCCCTCTTCCCTGCTTTCCACTATTTTCTCTTCTTATTCTGTTCATTTTCACTGAAGCCCTTATTCCATTTTCAATTAAGTTAGAATCATGTTCTGTATCCTCGTCATCAAATCCTTGGATATAAAAGTTTTCAGACGTATTTTCACTTTGGGCGTAGTTCCCTTCAACAGAATCAGGACCATTCATAGACGTCGCTATCTGTTTCTTCTTTTTCCTTCTCATTCTTTGTTTTTGTAATCGCAGTATCGACAACAACTTTTCTTTGATGATCTCAGGCAAATCCTTTATTAATATATTATCCAACATTGATAAATCTAGCCGCGACTTAAACGATGTTTTTCCGTCCGATTCAACATCATAGTCCATTCTCACTTTGTTCAAGTTGACTCGCGCAAAATCGTCATATTGCTCTTGACTAAAACCAAGTGCATCTGCGACTTTTTTCACATAATCCTCGTCTAATGTCTGTTCATCCACTCTAAGGACTCTAAACGCTTCTATCTTTGTCCCAGAATCAATAACACCAAGACTCAACTCTTCAAGCGCTTCCTCACTAGACAACAAATAGTCAAGTGATTTTCTGTCGTTACCAAGGGTAGTATTGGTGTCTTGTCCGTTAATTTGGTTTAGTACTGTCCCACTTCCTGATACAATGTATCCTTCCTTTATGTCTCTGTAAATCAGATAAAACATTATCAAAATTTGTACCACTTCTCATGTGTTACCATTCAGCGAATTCACACATTGAAAATTAAAGCTATTTTTTGCTACAAGAAAGACTGCATTTAACTGCCTTTAGGCCGAAAATTGAATTAATAGTGCACTTACAGAGTACAAGAGAAGAATTACAAACCCAAGTCTTCTCTTGGTCTTCCTCCTCCAGTCATTGAACCTCCGCTTTATATTACTGGCCAGGTGTATTGCAGGCCCACGAGTTGGTTGCTGTGGTAACTGACAGTTTGCTGGCACAGATCCAAATTCTGCCCAATGCTCTTTACATCTTGGACAGTGGAACAATGGCGTACAAAACACTCCCGGTATGTAGTCTTTGGTTTTTATCTTATAAAAAAGTATCGTATTTGTGGCAAAGGAGAATCCTGATCCTCTGTACAGATTGTAGATACTTAGGTTTGTATGTTATATGGGTTACCAGAACTTAACGACACGCAAAGCTTGAAAAGAGCTGACTACGGCGATTGTTTTTCCCCCGACAATTTCATTGCATGACAATAGTAACAAAAATAATAAAAACTAACAAGGTGCCAGGAATGCAAGATCACAATGTTGCAATGTTTCCCGTACCTCAAGAAAAATTGCTATTGTATTCTGAAAAGTTAAGCGCTGAGATCAGGTGCTCTTTGAAACGCGAAAGAGGATGCCTTGAGAATGCACAGTGAAAAGGGAAATATGGGAAAACAATCGCCTACCATAACCTTTATAGCTTTAGCTTTCACGCTGGAAATGGACCTACCAATTCGCACATCTGTAAGGTTTTTTTATTTTGCGCCAGTTTGTTACCCCTCCCTTACAGCTTTGGAAGTAAAATAAATACCACAGACACTTTGCCAACTTTTTATCAGTGTTTTCTAAGTTGAACAGGGGTTTAAACAAAGCTTATACGTTAAAAGGGTTGATGGCGATGTAACAAGACAAGACTAACCTCAACATAAATTCCTATCTTTTTTATGAACAGGACACGGTTTAGACCATCTTCTTCAAACTCCTGTGCAAAAAGCTCATCGTCTTCAAACAGAGAGTCAATGATTGGTTCGAGTTTGGAAATAATGACCTGGTGAAGAATAAGGACAGTGAGGTAGCTTCTAAAAAAATTAAACGGAACAAGAATTATAGTAGTTCTTATTCCTGACACTGATAGCAATTTTAATAGGTGTGGGAACGTAGGAAGGAGATTTAAGATTTCCTTGGGTTATGAATGACACATCACGGATTGAGGTTCCAACAATTTCTAGAAGGAGCTAAAAGTACTGCTCCCTCTTTTGAACGACCAGTATGCACCAATATGTTCTGTGACTGAAATCCCTCAAATTCTGGGTGCTTTTATAGAAATTGTTATAGAAGTAGGAATTCTTTTTCGTTAAAAAAATGTATTATCAAACAAGACCTCTTAGTCCTCGAAGTAAGAAGGTAAGTATTTCTCCAAATCCACAGGAACCCCAGCCAAAATCTGCTTGAAACAAGGAAGGAAATGGGACACAGCTGCATGTAGGCTTTTGGAATCCAAAGACCATCAACATGTAGAACAATATATGTAGGAATTATACTCAAAGGTTTACCTCTTCTACCGCCATATCAGAGACAGGTTCAACCGTGTCTACGGTAATTTCAGTCTGAGATTTTTTGTGAGCCTCACCCTTGATCAGCAGATCCAGCGGTTCAGTGTTATCTGGACCAGGCGAGGGGGAGACGCGACGCCCGCCAAGCACACTGGGTAACTCCGGAAGCTAAAGCAGTATAAAAAAATCCATCTTTTGACACAACTTTTATCAGAGAGAGAAATAGATCTAGACTGCATTTCAACCTTTCAAAATTCAACTCTTGCATCGCTTATTTTTCTGTTAAACCTCAATTAGATCCAACAGAAAAAAAAGGAAACGAACTTTTTCCACCACAAATCAAACTATTTTTTATAACATCGCGCAAATTGTGCGCTATGAGTACATCTTGTTTCAGATGAAGTTGTCAATTATCACTGGAAAGTCATGTTGTGATTAGAAAACACGGAAATATCGCTTAAGACTCATGAGTGATGGTAGCCTTCAGTGTTTAGTGAAGCATCCTTAACAACAAAAGTCTCTTTCCTACAAAAATCTAAATAAAAAGGATGCAGTATTCCGATTTTAATCGTCACTGAAATCCAAATTGGTAATGAAGATCTCATTCTTGAGGATAGAGGTGCGTGCGCGCGACTTCAAAGACAATTACATATAACCTATACATGATGGACGATTCTTTTACGAGTAAGCATTGAATACAAAGATCGCTTAGCAGTAAAAATACTGTGACACTCTGGTCACGCGGCTGCTACTTACAGTGACCTCTGGGCCGTCCCCAGTCTCCACAGATGGTGTAGGTACTTTGCCCGCTATCCCAGGACTCTTCGAACCGCTCTCCACCCCCACGGTGGGAAATAAAATATTTTTGTCTTTCTCCAGACTAACGCAGTGAAAATCAAGTTTTTCATCGATTTGCTCTTGAACCAAAGTTTTTGGGAATACTTTTCCAACCTGTGAGATCTACAAAGAAGAGAGTTTTCATGTCCCGTTCTATTCATGTGACCACAGAAAGGAGAATGAGAAGATAAAAAACAACTGAGTGGACTGAATATCCTTTTATAATAATATACAATATATGTCTTTATAAAATAATTCAAATAGTACGCGCGCTCTGATTGGCCATAAAACCATTTTACATGAGCGTATGTAAACACGGTTTTCGTTCCTCTTTCATTAGTTATTTTATAAAAGAAATGTAAAATGGTTTCCGTGTTTACGTAAGCTGGAAACCACTCCGCTTCGCGTCGTGGTTTCCTACGCTTATCTCGTGTTCTCCCAACCTCCCGCGTGTTTACATTAGGCTATGTAAACACGGAAACCATTTTACATTTCTTCATTTTATTACGATCAGCACGGTGCGAATACCTCCTTTCGAGTTATTATTTCAGAATCATAAGTAGTGATTCACGAGGGCCACACCAGACAGATCAGAATTAGGAGATTTACAGACTACATTTTCCTTCATTGCACCAAATAATGTATCGTCTAACTCGCTCTCTTGTTTGCTGTCTTACCTTTAAAAGATGATTTAGTCAACTGCCACTTGCATTTTGAAGTGGGGACTTACACGTATATTTCATCCCAAGACCTAGCACCTAACATTCTTCCCAACAGGGAACAATATATCTTACCTTCTTTCTCCTGTCTGCTGCGAGACGAGGCACGATTTCTCCAACGTTTGCCTTATGATCTCTGAGGCGCGGTAATGACGTTATCATGGCTAAATTTCTTGAGCGATTTACCCAAACGCGGCTGAAACGGCTACATCCTATAACGCGATTTGTGGTTCACACTCTTTTATTACGTTGAAATTTGCTGCACGCGCCCCGAACGAGCGCGCGCAAAATTAGACGATCAAACAATATCCATCATGGCAAACTAACATAGTGGAGCACACGTGCAAATAACTGTCGAGCCCTTAGAAAAAGTCTGAGGCAAGGATGCCCCTTTTTTTTGGCTTTCAACACTTGAAATAAAGTCCTTTGCTTCCTTTTTTTTTTCGTTTTTTACGTCTTTAGAAGTTATTTTAACATATATATATATATATTTGTGCCCGTAATTACAGTGAAGTTTTGTTGTAAACATTAAGATTTTCCTTTATTCTAAAAATAACTCAAATTACCTCATACAGCTATTGTAGTTTCTTTTTCATACTTTCAATTCCAATGCCAACTTAACAGTTGCAAATAACCTATTCCCTAAAGCTCTTTTTTCGCAAAAATGAAACGAAGTAAATTCATTCCGTTGTGTTCGAGAGCTTTCCATTGACCAAACATATCTTTTCAACAATCATGATAATACAATTGATGCACTGAGTCTTTTTTCAATGTTTTTCAGTTCATTGGGTCTCCTTCTCATGAATTCAACATAATCCTAGTTTCCAGTACTGTACCCCACATTCCTATGGAAGGCACTGGTAACTACAGGCGAGCCAGGTTGGCTTCATTCCTTATTTTCTGTGAAATCATCAGGGTAGACCGAACTCGTTACCAGACCTCCTTCAGTTCAGTAACAAAAGGGATCAACAACTCGTGTTCCTTAGAATGGCTTTGTTTTTAAGTACACGTTACACTATGTACCATGTGCCAGTGGTAACAACTTTTAGTGTGACTGCCCATGTTGTCACGTGTTTCTTGCTTTAAATACCAGAGTTGTGACTGTGCTTCCTGTCTGACCGCCAAATGACAAGGAAGGTGCAGGGAGGTCTTCTAAAAATTCAAACTCTGTTGAAAAGCAAATACAAAGAGAATGACAAGGTGAGTCGTAAAGCAGCCAAAAATTACCCGAGAGGACAGTTGTTTAAAGTTTGGTTTTGGTCTTATGTCTCTAAATCAAAAAAGAGCCTAAAAGATCTGTTTATGAAGATTTTAGATATATGAAAATTCACATATTTGCACTGCAGTGGAGAGATGAAATTAAGAGATCCTCGCAGCTAAGAACACTACTGAAACGAGTAGTTGTAAATAGGACCTGAAAAAAATTTCAGGCCCGTACGGGATTTGAACCCATGACACTTACTGTCTTTAAACTGCTCAAGTAGCTCAGTCTTTGTCCAGTTACAGGAGCAGATGATGAAGAGTCCACCAGCTGCCAGCAGACTAAAAACATTGTCAATGTACTTTACCCGGCAGCCCTTGGCATCTTCTGGATTGAGACTGATTGCATCATAAGTTCCTTTGTCCAGGCACACATCAAATTTCTTGCCAGTGCACATGGCACTACTCTCTGATGTGTTTAAGATGTCACAGACCTGTCATTCACAAACATTATTTTGTGAGTCTGGTTTTTTTTTCATGGATAGGGAAAGAGGATAGTTTTGGGGGGGATGGCTTCTGCCCTGCAAGACATCCCAAGGAATGGCTACCAAGGAGACTAAAATAAGTTTACACTACATTTCTTATTGTTTGTGTTTGTTTAGAGATGAAAATTTCTGGAAAGAAAGGGATGGATGATGAATTAACCACTGAAGTGACAAACAGTAATAGTTCCATGATGTACAAGATGACTTATGGAAAGTCCTTGCTTGCAATAAAGGGATTGAACCCAGTATGGTTGATTGAATCTATGCACCCAAATACTAGAACTTCATAAACAAAACCTGTACAAGATGGGGGGAGTGAGTCAAAATTAAATAACCAAACAAAAGGAGGGCTTTATTCAACCCCAGACCTTCCTTAGACCAAATCAAAGGAGCATGAATGTACATAAATATAAGGGTACACCACAGAAGTACACAAGAGGATCACCCCTCATGAATTTGAGGGACAATACAAAAAACCCTCTGTATTATACAGTCCTAATACTGTCAGTATTATTTTTGGGAGTTCATATTATCAAATTTGAAAAAACAAACCAGAAATTTAATTTTGACTTGTTCTGCTACTGCAATTGATTTGGCTAAGTTGATTGCTCCTTCTGAATAATCCACACCAATCAAGCTTGTGTAGCCGTGCCGAGCCTGAAAAAAATAGTTACAGGTACAGGACTCCATGTATAAGCCAAAGTGGCCCACGTGGTACAAACCTGTCACACTAAACTGTCTGCCACTTCATTTACTCCCCCCCCCCCACTTCAATGCAATTACATTGCATTTCAATTCAAAGTACATGTACCCTTTTTGCATCTAAGTCTTTTCAGTTTTCCCATTTTCAAACACTGAACTGGGAGACTAGCTGCATACACCTCCTCATTTGAAGGGACAGCGTTGTTTCCCTGTGCCAGACCCCTTTACTAGAGCCAGAGGATAAGTTTTTGTATGAGCCTTTATCTTTGACTTAATTAGTACAACTTGCCCTATCAAGGCTACAACACTCCACCTGGCATGACTGGGGGAAACCAAAACCACCCCTACACTATGAGGCAGTGATCATGAAGGTGTTGCCCTTCATACCAGAGGCTGCAATGCACCTGCAGTTAGTGAGTGAAAGAAAGTGTAGATGTGTTTGGTAAACCTAACTTACCAGATTCACCAGAAGAATGCCATTTCCACATCCTAAGTCTAAAAACAGTGATGTCTTTCTTATGTTTGGACAGTTTTTGATCCATTTAATTATTCTGTTCATGCTGCTTTCTCCAAACCTAAAATTGACAACAAAAATGATGGATATTAACTAACAGGAGGTCTTCACTTTCTTTAAATGTGGTATAACGGTGCCATCTGGGTGACAAGTATAAGCATATTATGGTCAAGAATATTTCCAAGCATTAAAATATTAAAATATCTGAAGTCTCAAGCAGAAAAATGTAAAAATCAAGGTAAATTAGAGTAAACATCATTGTGATAAGATTGTTGAGAGTCCAAAACACAACTCTAAATGGGAAACACTTTACCAGACTTCTCCAACGTCACCAGTGTCATGAAAATTATCCAATTCTGCAGAGTAGGCTTCATCCCAGCTAAAAGATGACAAATAAACTAGTTAAGTGAAAAAAACACTGTATTACTAATGTGTTCTCTAACTCAAACATTGGCTGAGAGACAGAGAGAACACCACATTACATGTGCATAAGAAGGAGGTATCCGGTCATTCCGCCCGAGAGTCGAACCGCCCGGGAGTTTTCCGCCCGAACTTCGAAGTCATTTCGCCCGATGTATTTGTCGTCTTATCGATGCGTTGTGTAGAGTTCTTTAATATGTATCTTAAATAAAACTACTGTTTTCTGAGTTTTTGTAACAAAACACAACATGAATGATTTAATATTTTTGCTGAGTTGTATACTGAGTTTTGATCGCAGAAGTTCCGAAGAAGTTCAATATCCCAGCGGTTGAATGAGCTGTTGTTTTGATAACACGGTCAACAAATATCTACAAACATTACTAAAAGAAATCAAAAGAATGGAACAACAGCTTAATCTTTGTAATTTTATGCACTGTTTGTTCGTCGGGCGGAACGACCGCAATTCAAGAAGGATTAAGAGCGTGTTGGTCAATTGATGTAACACTCCTGAGAGCAGATAAGATACAAACGCCAGGGATCAGGAACAGTTAAACTTCATAGGAGACTTGTCCTCCTAGATAGAGTTTGATAAAAATTTCAAAACAGTTTCGATTTTCAAAAGAGTCTCCACGAGGCTGCAATGCTACTAATTCGATGTTCCTAAATTGTTTCAGATTGATTATCCAACTGGGTAAAAAATTTCGAACCAAGAAAAGTTTCAAGTACAACATATGTAGGTGGAGTAACTGGAAATTATGTTCATCCTTTGTAATATCTTACAATTCCTTAGTTCCGAGCTTTGATGCCAGAAGTTCCCCTGAATCTCTTTCGCATACTTCATCCGCCATGATGGATTTGAATGAGCCTGCTTATAATTTGTCAGCGGCTGTTGAAAGTCAAACCGCGAGAGATTGGGTCAGATTAGTTAAAATAAATGGCGGACGAAGACAGCTGTGATCGTGACAGTCCCGAAAGTTTGAAAAAGAAAATATCAAAACGGAGCCTCAGAAGACTACAGGTAAGTCAATATAAGAATATCTGCTTTAAAATTTAACATTTTAAATGGAATATGTGGTAAACCTGGCGGTTAGAGTAGCCTTTAGCTTTGACAACCGAAACCCTTTCAAACAATCCCCTTTCTATCTTTTAGGTTACAGCTGCCAAAAAGCTGAGATGTAATGTATGTCCCAACAAAAGGTTCACTTCTCTTAAGATGTATGATGACCACATGGCGTCCAAGAAGCACAGAAAGGTTAAATTACAGAACAATTCCGAGGGAGCGTGGGTTTGCCAGGCTTGTGAGCTTGTGCTGACCTCTCAATCTGAATGGGTGAGTTAAGAATTGAAATAAAAATTAGCTGTTTATGATGAGACCGTGTTAAAGCACAATCCTCTCATAATCAAGAATTCATTATAAACCCTGTGGGGTTACAGTATGAGCCATCAAGGAGTACTGCAGGGGAATTTTTTGAGTATTAATTTTGCTATCCTATAACTGCAAGAATTTTGGTGTCAGAAAAATGCTAAAGAAACCCACATGTCTGTAGGAAGGAGAGGACCAGGTGCCCATGACCTGCCCCTGGATCTGCCACAGTATTAATACTTAAGTGTATACCTATCTCAGGGTGGGGTTCTGATCCAACAGTGCTATCACTCCCCCTTCCTCCTTGTTTACAAGGTATAATTTACATGTAGTTATGCGAAGGATGTTACACTTTCCTCCACTTGTAATAGCTCTCCTCTAGTTAATGATGAAAGCCTACATAGATAAAAATCTGCATATTCCAAGTGCATTTGGTGGTATGCTGTCTGAATTGCATCTTAATTTACTTTATTCTGGACCTTTAGAACCATGATATCCTGAATTGCTTAGAGAATTATCATTATTCCTTAATGCTCTTTAGTTTGTTATGGTTGACATTAAAGAGTTATATTAGCCTTAAATACAAGTGGTAATGAAAGCAATAGTACTTAGTAAGAAGGAGTAAAAAAATCTCCAGGGAGTCACATGGAAGTGTTAATTAGCAAGATGCTTGTATGTGAGAATCTATACTGAAAACAGGTCTCAAGTACTGTATGATGGGTGTATCACAAATTATGACAGTAGTTTTTACCTTCTACCTTAACTTCAGGTGAAGCACCTCTGTGGTCGTCGACACCATTTCAAACTTAAGGAGTGGAGTTTAAAACTCTTCCCAACTTCATATCCAGTCATTCAAAAAGAAATAGATTTGTTAGATGACTCTTGTTATGAAGAGACAGAGGACAATGACATGGAGACAATTGATAATAAAGTGGGGAAAGTGACTCTAGAAATCAATTTTTAAACAGAAGATCAATGGAAATAATACATCCTGAAATGGAATGATTGAAGGTATTGTCACAGAGAAAGACTCCTTCCAATCCTCAGAAGGATCCCTAGTTTTAGCTTCTTGCTCTCTTCTCCTCTGTTATGATTTCATACAAATGTATAATTTGTGTGAAACTTTGTTGTTTGATGCTCACTGCATCCTGACTTGGAGCAAGTTTGGAAAAAGAGAAGTAAGATGTCAACAACTCATGAAAGTTAAACCTTTCCACCCAAACATCAATATGCATATTCTCCATACTTGTCTCTATACTTTTCCCAAGGTGCTGTCAATGAGAATTTGTTTAACAATCAAGAGCTGCTTATGTTGGTGATCATTTCCTTTATTCTCATGACCTTACTGTGTGATTCAGTCTCAGAAGCTGGTCACTCTTCAGGGCCAAAGAAAGAATACACTGAACACTTAAAAGTTGCAGCAAGTCAGCAAATCAGACCTGCTGCACTGAGAACTGTGTATTTCATCAGGAAAACTCTGACACAATATTTAAGATCAGAGCGTTTCTAGTATTCTACTATTGTCTTTGTAGTCGATTTTCCTCTTCATCTTTTCCCAGACAACGAAGATTTTAGGGTTAACAGATGAGGGACATGTTTATCCCATATTGGCCAAGCTTGTTTGGCAAGGCTCCATTTTTTTTGGTTGTTTCTTCGTTTTTTCGCATTCTTGTCTTGTTACGTTTTAGGGTTCGAGATGAAGTCAAGGTATAAACGATATTGTTACTGGCTTACTAGGAACTAGAATAAAGAACGAGGCTATATTCAGCAATTTTGATCGAGAAAAAGCTGATTAAATGAGGGATTTCGCGATTCCATGTTTTAAAAAACTGACGGAAACTCTTTTCCCGTAACAGAAAAGGATCACCACAGTTATGACATGAGTAAACCGGCCACAATTTCTTGAACATGGATATATTTTCTTTTTGAAAGATCAGAGATTCAATCCCAACACCCCAAGCGCTCGGCCGGGTAGCCGAACAAAGGTTCGTCTCACTGCACATTCACGTGCGCTGAGGGTGACCTAGTAAGTTACACTGTTGGCTTGCATATGTGGCTATTGCAGTGGATCGTGCCATGAAAGCGAGCTGCAAATCAGTGAGAAGAGTGGGGCAAATCGATGCTTCACCGCTCGTTTTCGCGATTTTGTCGCCTTAACTATTGACCAGTCAATACGAAAAGGAGAGTTTTGCTTACCGGCTTAACTGTCTGTGTTCTTTTGAGAAAAACCGAGAGAAGTTCAGTGCTCTAAGGACAAATACACCTATTTGTAATTTAGGACAGGACTCGGTAATTCTAAGTTCAAGGACACCTGAGGAACATAATTTCGTGCTGAAAATGATTAATTGACAGATGACCTGAACTGAGGGCAAACTTTGATCTCGGAAGTTGTTAATCTTATTTTGATCCACGTGCACAATTGAAAAAAGGCTCAAATGTCAGATGGGTCGGTTGATAGGCCGGTCACCCTCGTTAACAGGGCCCCCCTAGGATCACGCGAGGTTGTTTCTGATCTCATAAGGCTTTTCTTCTCTCATTAACCTTCTGTAGAGCTTCGATTGTTATCTGAGGAAGTTCATAAATTTTAGCAAAACTTCCCGATGAATATCCCGGAAAACTAAGTCATTGAATACCAAGGCAAGATGAAACTGGATGTAATTTAATCGCGAAGCGAAAAGACGAGAACAGGGGTTGAGAGGGTAGGGAGAATGCTTTTGTAGAAAAAAAGTGAAATCGTTTAAACGAGCAACGATGAAACAACCTGCTATGCCATCAAATGCCAATGAAATGCTGGGTTAGGATGAGGCCTCCCCCACTTCTGACTACTTAAGCACTTTTGAAGACTAAACGCATCTCTAAGGCCTAATAACTGTTGCAACGAAAGCTTGCACGACCCTTGCACCCGCATTAGAGAAGAGACTGACACTGACGACCATCTAATTGGCCTTTCACCGACTCCTGGTTAGTGTCTTTATTGACACTGATGAGGGCAAATGATACAGGCCGTAAACCCACTCTATATAGTTATCTGATGCTCGTGTTTTTTTTTCCTTAATCGCAAAAGGTCCTCAGGTTGGCGTATCAGATCACCGTGCCAGGTATTGTTATCTGAGAAAGATCTCCTAAAGATTACATCGTAAATCTTTGTTGAGCCATTTCCCCTTCTCTTCACAACTTGAGCTTGTCACATTGTGTCAAGAGACATCTCCGAGCCTTCCTAGAATTGACAGTATAACTAATCAACGAATAATAAAATCGTGTGTCAAGAGGATTTTGGTTTACCTAAAGGGAATAGTACCATATCCACTTTTTTTCAGTCTTGTCAAAACAATCACACTGATGCTTCACCCATGAAAGGTTGGAGAAAATTACAGAAAAGAGCCTAACACTGTCAACAGGAAACTTGATACCCTGATTTTTACAATAGAAAGGAATCCTGTCTACTTTTGATCATTTTTAATCATTTTTTCTTCATCAATCTTGCTAGAGCTCGCAGAAAAACACTTCTCGGCTTCTCAAAGACTTGTGCTCCTTCGAAGAAATAAAATCCGTGTCATTACTGCTACACTTCCGAGGCTGTAGTATATCTGTGCCTCTACGACAGCTCGATGTCCTCTGTTTCTTGGTTCCAGTCATCGACGGGGAAGAAGCGCTGGCTCCTCTCCCGAATAGCGGAATCGAGTCTTCCACGTGAAGTGCTCTGACGAGAGTCAAAACGGCTGCCAGAGTTGTAACACGAGGCTGATAGGGGTACTAGTTAATGTTTCATAATCAGGACGCTGGTCCATTGCAAACTATCCTAGCAACTCATCAAGTTCCCGACAGTTCTCTGCACTCTGGATGGAAAGAAGTACGATGAGGAAAACCCCGCCTGAGAGCACAGCCTTAATATCTACAACAAGTTTGAACTCTGTATTCAACCATTTGTATCGCCAACCATTGTTGGGAACGAACACTGGTTTTTGTTTGTCAATGGCTCATGCATTAGCATTTTAAATTTTTTCGCGAAATTCAGTTACCGCGAAAATTTAATCGACAGAAAAAAGAAAGATACATAACGTCACTTAAGTCTATCCACGCGCTCATCTCGGCATGTATTGTGCTTTCACCAGGAGCCTATTACCAATAATAATTATTCTGGCTCAGACTAGTTTTTTGACCAGTCCAGTCCTAGAGACATTCTGATTCCTCCT